GTCCGGAATTCCCAAGTGAGAGCCAGCAGATCGCGCCACCAGCCATCTTCGAGGAATAGGCCAATGATTCCGTCGATATTTCCAGTAAGGACGTGCTGCGAGAAGATGCGGAACCATTCGGAGACAATCTTCTCGATGTCAAGATTGGGCTGAAGCGTCGCACCTAATCTATACAGAGTGGGAAGCCTGGGCTTCAGAGTGCCAAGAGGGGATGAAGAATGCCCCAGTTTGTCGAACACAGGTGAAGTAAGCTCCAGGAGGCCAGCAGCAGTCGCCATAATGGATAACACACAGAACGGGTGCGTTACAGCCAGACGAGTCGTCTTATACGGTCGCTCGCATGATAGACATACACAAACGCAGTTTATGCCCGCATAACACACGAATAGCTGATTTCACAACAGCTGACGAACCTTTCGTTCTTGTGAGCCGGCTATTTCCACGCCTCGTGTTCACGAGAACCAAATGAGAGCCGCCGGTTGGTATCACCTGTGAGATTGTTACAAATGACGACCAGGCCAGTAGTTGCAGCAGCAGTCGCTCCAGTTTGAGTTCAGAGTGTTGCGGCTTTATGCCAACTTGAGGCATGCCATACATGTCGGAGAAGCAAAATTCACCAAGACGAAGCGAACGGAAGCAGATGCAGGGGCAAAGATGCGTCCTCAGTCTTGCGAGTAAGGGTCATATCGACGGAAATGCAACTTATGCCGACCGTCAATCGGAAGCCCGTGAGCACGCACGGACCATTAACGTTTTGACCATCGAACTCGAACTTAGATCCCTGCGGACATTGCTCGGCATAGTCGTAGATAGCGATCAGAACAAGGAGTGAGATACTTACCTACGCCCCATGACATGCCCAATAATATCAAGCTAACGAAACGGATTCAGCGGATTACGAGAACAGTCGGACGAATTAATCTGGTCGAAAAGGCTGGCTTTAAGTCTCTGTGTACAATCTAGCCGGTCAGGCCTATAACGCGATATATCGATGTCGATGTCCAAGTTGAACCCCTTCTCACTGTACATAGGTCCGTAGACGCGGCGCCATGATTGTCAGGTGATGAAGATATTCTGGAGTGTAGCGGGCATAGGGAGGGTGGCATCTGCACCATCGGTGGGTGAGCTGGATGTGGGCGCGTGGGGTGCACGGATGCTGGGCGGCAGTGCGCAGAGCGCGGCACTGGCAAGCCGGGGCAAGCCTCGGTACGTCCCCACTGGCACGTGGCAGATACAGCGGTAGCCGAAGCGCTGGATTTGCGCTGAACGCTGACGATGCCGCGAGCATATACTGAAAACGTTGTAGTGCAATGATAATAGCGTGAGCTTCGGGGTTTCAATCTCATCTCTTCTTTTCTTCTTTCAATGCTGAATTATCAATGAATCTATAGCGATGTTGACGGCACAGTAGGGGTATCAAGCATCGGCTAGTTATGTATAGGTTACTATTCCATGCCGCTGCGCATTGACCCAGCTTCGATTCCGCTTCATTATTATCGTTCTCCCCCATGGAACTACCGTGGAGAGCCGGCCTTGCTGATTTGGCCAGTACTACAATAAGGTAAGCATTCATGATACTTGTAAATGTTCAAGTCCATCACATTGGGTGGGAAGGAATCCTGGAGAGAGGTCTCTTACTCTAATTGCATGGACGTTCAGATAGCCATCTCCGACTGGACCTGGAGGTAGGGATCAAATCGAGACGGTTTATTGTGAGATATCAGTCGAATTACGTCCTGTCAAGTCACTTTTTTGAACCATGGTCGCGTCTTATACTCAGAAAGTGCCATATGCGTTACGTGCCTGTGACATCGTGGAAGCCCCCGCATACCCACCGTGCGTATAAATCTGCCTCGCCGTCCATGTCTTCCCCCACCAAACAGATTACTCATGCCTGCTGATTATATTGATACTACGGTTTTCGGCTTGCTGCTTTTATTCATCCTTCTTTATGGACGCTATGCCGGCAGAAAGGTCCACACACTGCCACCCGGTCCAAAGAGGATCCCCATATTCGGCAATCTATATCAACTGCCTTTGAAACAGCAAGCCAAAGAGTTTCAAAAGTGGGCCGAAAATTATGGTGAGTATAATCACCCTGATGCACCTGTCGTAAATACGGAAGTTTTCGTATCATAGGTGACATATTCTACTTTGACGTTTTTGGCCAGCCGGCGTTAGTGGTAAATTCTATGCAAGCAGCGTTTGATCTTATGGATAAGCGAGGCTCCAAATATTCTGATCGCCCGAGGACGGTTGTGCTGACTGAGCTGTGAGTATGTTCGCTAGAGGGAGGTGTTACTGATAATCCCGCTGGTCTAGTTCCGGGTTCGATCCCTCTGCATCGCTCCTTCCTTACGGAAATCAGTGGCGACAACACCGCAAATGGTTTACCACCGCGTTTCAGACGAAAAGCTCTCTAGGGAGTTACAAGTCACTCGAGGAGAAACATGTTCGACGAATGTTGGCCGCACTCATCGACACACCGGCCAGATTTATGTTTTACCTGAAGAGGTGCAGAAGTTCTAGCATGCTGCCATCTGCGAAATTCGACTGTTTTCACGCAGGTCCACAGCTGCCACCATACTAGATATTGCATATGGATACACTGTGTCATTGGCTGACGACGAATATGTCGAGCGGATGGACAGCGCGATCGCGTTGTCTTTTGGAGCAGGTAATGCAGGGTCAACGCTGATCGACTTCTTCCCCGTATGTGAGTTCCTGTTCAGATCATGCTCTTCTATGTACTTATTGTCGCAGTGAGGCATATACCCAGCTGGATGCCAGGCATGGGAGTCAAGAGGAAGGCGTTAGAAGCGTCACACTCGATAAGGGCAATGCACGATGATCCTTACAACAGAGTGAAAAACGAGATAGTGGGCCTGCATGAAACAAATCTTCAGCTTCCTGTTGACGTTGTAATAGGAATTGGGATCTGCAAGACCATCGTTCTTGGCTTCTCATCTCAAAAAAGCTATAGCAAATGGGGCGTTGACAAAAGAGCTTGAATACAATCTGAAAGGAGCTTCGGCATTGATCTACATAGGTAATTTGCCCATACATTCTCAAACTGATGTGCTTACAACGTCCGTAAAAGGTGGCACTGATACGGTAATGTTACAGTCAACGTTTATCATCAATTATCGGACTGGGCTAAAACTGCACGGTAGACTAATACTGTCGTCCTCAGCTTCGTTCTGGCAATGGTCCTCCATCCCGAAGTTTACTTAAAGGCACAAGCCGAGATCGATCAGGTTGTCGGCCAGTC